TCTTTTCTCGTCGCACAAGTGTGTGTGTTGTGTTTAAGAGACTGCTGTATTTGACATACTATTGTGTACTGCGCTCTCTTGCACCTGGCAGAACTTAGAGCAGCCTTTTTCAACGGCATTTGATTTTGGTTTGACGCGGCTTGTAGGCTTGTCGCGCTTTCCTGTCCCAGTCATACTCTTGCTCTTGTCCAAGCAACATGTAGGGAGTTGGAGTACAACTCGGGCCATCAGTACCGCAGATTGAGGTGCTGCCGAATGAGATGTGTTCTCATTCGTCTTCAATGGATTTATGGCACTAAAGCAGATGAGATGAGCCATCGGAGTAGCTAATATGGTAGTTGCCTTCTCCGGATGACCAAAAGAACGCGGCCGTCAGTTTCATGCATCATGATATTATGAGATCTCCGAAGCAGGTTGCAACACCTTTTTTCAGAATAATATCTTTAATGGTGGGCGTGTCTTTGTATCGTGGTGCGGAGAACGAACCTTTCTCACGATGGACTGTCAAGTTGGATGCAGCAATCTGTATAACTCAACTGCGAGACCCTTCGCAGGAAGTGTTTTTCGCAATGTCCAATCTGGCAATTTGTGCGAAGGTTCGGTGTATGGTTAGCGTTTAGCTGAGCTAAGCTGCTTTTCCGGTAATGAAAGCTGCAGGACAAAGCTAAAGAAGGTGCTTGAACAACAAAAGATTCCTTGCCCGAGCAGAGCTCTTGAATCTTCGTCAAAGTTGTTACGACCTACACTTGTGTGCAAAGCGAATTCATTACTTGTCTTCGAGCATTGTTGATGAGCCATCTGACATTTCAAAGCAAGTTGTAGCATCATGGCGAGTCTGAACGATGTTCGAGATAAAATACACTGTTTGTTTATAATTTAAAATACTAGAAAAAGCAATCAATCTTTTGGTGCGATGAGAAGAGTTTAGCATCAAGCAAGCCAAGTGAAGTGGCTTCGTACTATAACAATCAATCGCCTCCCATCGACTGCTATATGTAAAAATCCAGAGCAATGGACATCTCGTAAATGTCTACGTCTGGAACTGAGCGACTTCGCAGCGATAGATAGTGTTTTCGTGGTGAGAAGCCAGGTCATATTCTCGAAACTGCAGAGTGCCTTTGTCGGGCCGGCCACAGACGCAGGATGCTCATTCGGATAAGCGCGACCGTTATAATGGTCATCGCGACGCACTCTTTCTTTCGTCAAAGCCCAGGAACGATTGGTAGAGGTGAAGGCTTCCACTAGATTCAAGATGAATAGTAGGAACGAGGTACTCTGGCACCTAACTTGCATGATGCAAATGCCGTTTCCAAAGGAGAGGTAGTAACGTCAGGCGAAGTGCAACTTTGATTGTACTGGAAGTTTTTAAAAATGGTTTTGCGAAACTACTGCGAGTTTTGATCAACTCTGATGTGTGGACTGACTTTGTTCGAGCGCAAGTTATGACTAGATATGATATTTGCCCGCACAATGTGAAAATAAGATAGTATTTGTTTAGCGATTGGATTTACAAAGAAATGCCAAAGCAATCATTCGCTTGGCAATAGAGTTTGAGGACTTCCGAGGCGAGAACGAGCTGATCCTTCTCGGCCTCGACGGCAAGTTTGGTTTCGTCTTAAGTGAGCCAGAGTGTAAGCTTTGCCTATCAAACATCGACTAAAGTGTAAGCCTTGCCTATTTAACATCGACCGGAGGAATAAGGAGATCTTCGCTGACAAGTCATGCAGCGCTTATTTGACAATAGACGAAATGGTTAGGGTATATGCATCTGCTGAAAATTCACAGATGCCCCAAGTGATATTGTGTGATGACCTCATACTCACAGAAAGGCACAAGAAGACGCAAGAAACGACACCAACTTGAAGTGGAGAGGCAGGTGCCAGAAAATGACTGTCTCCTTTGTTATCGACATGAACGTCATGAGCGAAAGTATTATGAAGAGGCAAAGCCCATCCCTGGAGAAATCAAAAAAATACCACCAAGAAGAATTTATCGACAAATCATTTGCGAGTTGCTGATTAAAGAACAAGTAGTATTGATGAAGGAAGTGCCAAAGAACAAGACATCTCGAGCGAGTTTGTAAGTGTTGAGTGGCGTCGATTATATAGATTGAAATTTTTATGTTCAGTCGAAGAACTACTTTCTTTGCCGCTAGTAAGTAAGAAGTTTGCAGCACAGCTTGAAAATGGACAAAATTGCGCAGGAGTGTGCGACGTAAAAATGCCCAACAAAGAAGGTATCAACATTGCATCGAGTACTGATGGGGAAGTGTTGATAACAAGATAAGGAAGGAGAGCCCTAAAATGCTTTCATGGATGCTCTCAAACCCAATTCTGGATACGAACGTGGCGAAGAATACAAAGCAATATTCCGAAGCAAGGTGACAGACGAATTGCCATCCGATACAGGTATTCGTCATGAGATGAAAGTACATCCTGGTATAAAATATTGTATCACACGGCAGTGGTCGTTACCAAAAGGTCAAACCCTTGCAGTCGACGTGTTTTTTGCGCAGCAACAGAAAGCTGATCATGTGCGTGAGAACAAGTCTTTGCATTGTAGTACCACATTTTGAGTGAAGAAAGCAACTGGTGGACATTGCTAAAAATAAGAAAAATGGCGCCACCGTACCAGATAATGTTTTTATCAGATACGAGTGAGGAAAAATAATAATACCACTAGCTGCAGCCAATTCTCCTAGCGATTTCTGTGGAAATGGATTTGTCACAATTTTTAAAGAATGCTCTGGCAGCTTTCAACAGCATGGGTACAAATCTATTGATGCCAGAAGGTTTCAAGAACGCTCTTGCAACTTTCAACAGCATGACTACAAATCTTCTTCGTTCATTGAGGAAGTTTGTTTCGAGTCACTTTGAGGATACATTAGGTTACAGTCTGGTGTCGAGTTTACCTTGACCATTTCGTCAGGTCTTCCAAGCTATGCGAAAGAAGAAACGTTGAGCCAACCTGAAGAAGTGCATTTCTGCACCTGCGATCCCCCGTTTTCGATTGCTTTGTGGGCTAGGATCTGGATAAAGTCAAAGCTTCCAATGATTGCCTGTGCCGAACAATGTGAAACAGCTGGAAAAATGGCTGGGCTTGGTCACTTTACGTCCTGTATACACGCGCAATACCGCCCGAACGATGATTTAAAGGTTTTGTGATAATGATCAGAACATCACTAGGTGATACTGGTCAAGGTAAAGAAGAGCTTGCGAGAAGCTTGGGTCATTGTGGTTACCGCCCACAACAAGCCTCTCTATGCGATATGCGATGCAACTGGCCATGACATCAGTTGTGCGTTGATTAAATACGATGATGATTCGTGACAACTCCGGTTCGCTAAACGGAACTATCCAGTACATGACAAAGGGCTTCTCGCCATGGAATATGTTTTGGTTAAGATCCGCGTGTACATGCTTGGAGTGGAGTGCTTTGTGGTCAATATGTATCTTGCCCCGCTGCTTGCAGCAGGGAAGACCCCTCATTCGCCACAGAAGATGGATCGATGGATTTTTTCTCTTCGAAACAACTTTGTTGAGCACTACAAGCCCGGCAAGATAAATACTTAATCCGAGGCATTATCACATCGTCTGGATAACGAGCAAACAATTGCACGAATCATGCTGACAATGCAAAGATGTCCAGTTGATTAGATTGCGAGCTACGGCTTCAGTCCGCAAAAACATGTTGAAGGGAACAGATCCGACGCGACATGTCAGGGCTTGTTAAGGTCCTTCCAGGACCCTTCCGACAAAGCACTTTAAAGTCTATCATCTTGCACAGAATCGCGTCTGGATTGTTTTGGGGTACACGATGGGTTATTGTACAATGCGGTTGAGCACGCGGATACAGCAAGGGTTATTGCTTCTAATGACGTAAGTTTGTGTCAATATAACATGACAGCCTTTTGGGTGGTCATACCAAACGTGCATTAACGTTTCTTAGTCTTACTTGCGATTGCTATTTTCCATACAGGTTTAAGTGAATTCTCAAGTATGTGAAGACTTCCGAGATTTACCGTTGAGTGAAATCATCAACTTCAACTCAAGCTTCACTTCGGTCGTAGCAGTGTCAGCTGATTATTGATAATCAGTAAGAATGGACTTCATATTTAGATTTTAGCGTGACACACATTGACGCAATGGCATACTTGTGTTAGTGGACCGGATCAGCAAGATACATAATCTTGCACCTGTTTCAAATGAGATCTCTGCAGAAAGAAAGCAAATGTTTTTTGTAGACGTTGTTTTCCGTCTATATGGCCCTCTCAATGAAATCGTGTCTGACCGTGATATATGTTTCATGTCAAAATTTCGGCGTGTGCTATTTCAGCTATTGAGCACCAAAATGTCCAGGTCGATAGCGGTAAAATCTGAAATGGACGGTCAAACAGATAGTATGAATGGAGCTTTTGTAGTTATGCTACGTCGTTCAAAAAGTAGAGTGAATCCCTCTCACACACATAGTTTACGTTAAGCGACTCTACTCATGACTTGACAGGTCACTTGCATTTTATGCGAACTACAGTATTCATCCTAGGGCATCTACACCCATATTGGGCGAGGTCAAAACCTTAAGTGGGGTGGACTATGGCTACGGAACCGCGGTCAGACTTATATGCTGTGAAATAATAAAAAGCAAACTTTCACTCAATGAGACCTATAGACTAAATGGAAAGTCGTGAGGAACAGCACATCGATACTGGGTTGTGATGAGACGAGCCGTTGTGCGGTTTGTCCGAGAGGAAGGATGAACCAAAAATCTCAGTAACAGCATTGTCCCCTGCCCATGTCACTCATGGTCGCCCTTCAGCTCCATCGGATCTGACACGGAGGATTGCGATACTTAGTCGATGTTTCTCTTCACTGACGCCGAACAACACATGGCTATTTTTTGGCTTTCCAACAGAGATACACTACACTCACTCTGGAGACTACGAGTTATCTTTTTCATTTCAAAGCTCAGCTTAATATAACCTAGAGAATGTGATGTAGGCAATGAGCAATATCATTGTTCGTTAGTCAGGACATGTTGCTGTTTTATGCGAAAGCATTCGCAGCTTCGTTTCCGAAACAGAGCGTATTTGTCACCTAAAAGAGTTGGGTGCATGACTTGCCAACGCTCCATTGGGAGTGTGCGGTAATTTAAATCTCTGGTCAGCCCATCGGGCATGGTATTACAGCCAAGGCAACCATTAAATACGATCATATCTTGAATCCAGGTCCAAGCCAAATAAACATTTATGCTGTCAAACCTTATAAACTTCCGTCGCTTCGGCTCAAGAAGCTTCAATTTCCAATACCCCGTCTGTCCGTCTCGATATGAGAGTTGGATTTTGCATTTGATATACACCTAATGATATCTCACGAAATGTAGAGTGGATGCCAAGATCCCATCCTGAATAGGTAGCTATTACCGCTTCCAGGCGGAATCTGATGATACTCCGCAAAAATATTAAAATATTCGTAGGGTAAGGATTGTCCACTTCTATTTGAAAGAATAGTAAGCGGGTGGCTTAACGGGCTTTAGCCGGTACCTAGTAAAATAAGATTGATACTCTCACTCTGAAAACTAATGGGGGCTTGGGGTTTCACTATAGCATGGTTGTCTCGGCGTGATATAACGGATTTTTACGAATACTGATCGGTCTTTTATTTATTAGTAGCCTCAAGAAATCGATCACTTTTGACAGGGGGTCTACAATTCGTAGAGGACTACTATG